AAAATGGGGGAAATGCAGTACTCATTTTTTATATTTTTGTAAAATATCTCTGTCCATAGATGGCTCTGCTAGTCCTGATTTTACGTGTCCTTGAATTGGCGGGAAAAAACGTATTCTTACTAGTGCTATAAATATAGATGGTGTTATTTTTAACAGCGAATTAGGATAACGTTAAATATTTTCGTAAATCGATGAAAAGGGTGAACGGGTGAGACAGGCAGTACTGTAATTGGCTCATTGGATACTTAGTACAAGTGTAGCCATCTATGTGTAAAAACAATCGAACAAGTCGCCTCACAGTGGGCATGTACGTACATGCCATCCCCGGCGGCAATGGGTTAATTAAATCCAGATTACATTAACCTCCAATCCTTTTCAGGTGTGTTCTTGCTCACCTCCCTGCTGCTCAACACACTGAGACACACCCCAAATTCGCACCTCGTCTTTGTTTCCTCGGATGCACACAGAGTCGTGTCCCTCAAAGACGTGGACACCTTTGACCCGAGAGAGCCAGTGCATCACCAGAATTTTGAGGACCACGTCAAACTGTATGGCATCTCAAAGCTGGCCTTAAGGATCTTTGCACAGTTTGTGGCGGAGAATTTTCCAGGTGAATGCGAGATGTGTGTTGCAGTGCTTGTGTGTGTGCTTTGCGGTTTATCCTTTTTCATCACGGTGTTTATTCGTAGAAGAAACTGGCAAGAGCAAAATAAACTGTAGGAAAGAGTCCTAATATGTAGGACTTTTTGATAGAAATTTTTAAGTAATCATTTTTTAGATAAACAGTGACAATGTAGAAAAGTCATGCCATTCTGCTCATGTCTGCAAAATAGTAAATCATGGCCTAAAGAAATCTCGTAGAAAATTTTAACCCATTGCCGCCAGGGAAAATGAACAAAAAATGGGGAAAATGCAGTACTCATTTTTTATATTTTTGTGAAATATCTCTGTCCGTGGATGGCTCTGCTAGTCCTGATTTCACCTTTCCTTGAATTGGCGGGAAAACACGTATTTTTACTAGTGCTATAAATATAGATGGTGTTATTTTTAACAGCAAGTTAGGATAACGTTAAATATTTTTGTAAATCGATGAAAAGGGTGAACAGGCGAGACAGGCAGTACTGTAATTGGCTCATTGGATACTTAGTACAAGTGTAGCCATCTATGTGTAAAAACAATCGAACAAGTCGACTCACAGTGGGCATGGCATGTATGTACATGCCATCCCCGGCAGCAATAGGTTAATATGTTTAGGAAGTTTTTTAAAGAGTTTTGTTATCATTATTATTGCTATTGTTGTTGTTATTATTATTATTAATAGTAGTAGTAGTAGTAGTATTGTTGGTATAAGTATAATCTCCAGTAAAGTTCATATATTTGAGCTTCTGTGGAATAGCTTCTCTCCCAATTATTCATTAAGATTTGTACAATTTTCTTTTGGAAAGAAGTTGGCCAGGAGTTTTAACAAGGTTTGCAGATTTTTTAAAAATTATTTTTATACAAGCATTTTGGTAAAAGTATTTACTTAAATAATCAAAGGTATCTCCTAGACTCAACACATTAATATCCATCCTCTTACTCCTAAAGGACAGATATCCCATACTTAGGCATACTTAGGTGTTAATGGAGGACAAGCTGTATTCCTATAGGATGCTGGAATATGTTTCTGGAGTTTTCAAATGTCATTTTTTTTTTTTTTTTTTATCTGCTGTAGAATTTTTATAAATACTACTCATTATTGAAGAGAGGTAATTATTTAATCTGCTGATATGCCACAATTGCATTGGATTGAAAGACAATGCATTTATTTATTTTTATTTTTTTTTATTCATTTTATTATTTTTTATTGATTTGTACAGACTTTTTGGTATCATAGAGTGTTACCACAAAAATCAACAAATGAAATTATTATGCTGAGCATTTTGAAGCAGAAGAAGCTTTGATGATGTTGCCAAAGCTCTTCTCTTCATTTCTTCACACTTCCTCTTGTTATTGCTTTATTCATTCATCCATCCTCTTTTCCACTTTCACTCATCATTCTTCCTTTCCTTCATTAATTTTCTTCCTCTTTCACTTACTTGTTCATTCTTCACACCCTCTCTCTTTATCCCATTCTTCCTTTTTTTCCTCATATTCGTTTATTTATCCATTTGTTTTTCTTTCCCTCTTATCACCTTCCCTTTTTACTTCTGGGTCACTGGTTTCTCGGGCTCGGACTGATAGGATTCCGTGTAGACGTCCTCTTTTTATTCCTTAACCTCTTCTGCTTTGACTCTGTTGCTGTCTGTAAAGCAAATTATGCTTGAAAAGTTCAGTAGATCTCAAAAGGTGTCAGTCAGTTCTGCTTTACACGTTGGATGGCTGTATGCTGGGATGTCATCCGTTCTTCCATTTTTCTGGAATTCTCCTTTGGTTTAATTTAGTTTTCCCTTTGGTTTAGTTTAGTTTTCCCTTTGGTTTAGTTTAGTTTTCCCTTTGGTTTAGTTTAGTTTTCCCTTTG